CCTGAAATGATCAAACGTTGTTTGGAGAAAAAGAGAATTTCCAAACGGGCCTCATTATCTGGGAGAAGCTTAAAAATCTCAATTAAGGTGGTTTAATTTCTCTCTTGCCTGCTTTAGTCTGCAGAGATGAAACTGGGGGAGTGTCCTGCTCGCTTGCTCGTTGCTCTTTTCAAAAGAACAAGTAGAGTTTTATCATACTAGACAAATCCCTTGTTAGCTGCAGGAGAGAAATAGTTTAATGATGAGGGGTAGAGCACTGTGCATCTTAAAGGAGGCAAATGTGCATCCCCAGGAATACAGTGAGCTCAGAAACTGCCACCGTGGGTAAGTGTCTGTCAGCCACTTCTCTGAAACCGTTTCTTGGAGGAATGGAAATAAACATTTTTGTGCATTACCTAGGTCTGAGGAAATGCATTTCTGTATATCTGTGTGGTCAGTAAGTGTTTACATTGTGTGGTGTGGTCAGTAAGTGTTTACATAAGAATGGAAAAAATAACATAACAGGGTAATGTGATTACAAAGCAAATCACCCAATGATTTCACTCTTTAAAGGAAACCTATTGGTGCTTAAAAAGCTTTAAATTACTGTAATATGTAAATGTAATGTGCAGCTGTGAGCTGATGTGATCAGTGTTAATACTCCAAGTGATTGATTTTTATTTTCTTTTTTTTTTCCCCCTGTTTCTCACCTTTTCCTACCCAACCAGTTTTTGCAGCTTTGGGTGGCCTTGTCAGTCAGTGCTGTGTACTGACAGGTTTGGGCAGCAGTCAGCACATGCAAATTCTCCAGCCCATGAATTATGTAAAGTAAGGACCTCTAGACCCAGTGTGAAGCCAATGATGGAGCTTTAATTTTTCAAGTTTGACATGAGCACTGTGTACATGTTTGTGGCTTCGTAACAAACACTGTCGAGTAATCCTACAGGCCAAGATATAATCTGCTGTGATATGGTCAGTGCTCTGGTTGGAGCTCCTGGGTTGTGGTAGAGGTTCTCTGCTCCAGACCTTAAAGATCATCTGCAGAAGGCAGTGAGATCTTTCAGGAGATGGAGGGGTTCGTTTTTGTTTGTTTTGATTGTTTTAGGAGGTGCATTGCTTAGTTTGGGTAAGAAGAGTTACTGGAGTAGAATAAATAAGACACGATGTGATCAACTTCTTAAAAATTATGAATATTTTCTGAACTAAATCCGATCTATAATTCTCTAATAGACTTTTTTTTTTTAATAGTTCATGGGAAAGCCAGAGACGTGTGAATGGAGAAATTGCTCTCCTTACAATTACCAGAGTGACTCCCAAGTGCTCTCTGTTGTGATATATTTCACTTAGTGAGGAAGATTGAGAGCTGTTAATGTCTAAGTGTAATTTTCATATGCTAGGGAACACTGAAAATGTGAATTATGGCACCTGTAAAACAATAGTGATGTTTTCTTCTAGAAAACATAGGCCAAGTGGCCATTAACATAGAAAAATAATAAAAAAATAATTTAAAAGTGATGCAAGTTCTGTTTTTATTTACCTTCCAGTAAAGCTTTTGTATATACCAAAGTGTTATTTTCAGTACTTTCTTGACATCCTTGAGAACTAGAGTCACTTTTGATTTTAAAATGCAGAATTCACACATCTACTTGGAACTGCAGTTTTAGGAAAAATATCAGCTATCATGAGACTCATCACAAACCTGTACAAGTTGGCACTGGGGTATATCCTAGCTGCTAAATGCTGTAAATTGATTTTCCTTGTTGTTGTTTTTGATTTCTTGGTTTTCTGAAATGGATTTTCTGTTTCATCTGCTTGTATTGTGGAAAGAAGAGCAGTCTGATTGAAATTATGTGGAGGAATATTTCATTAGGAGCAGCTTAGCTTCACACAAACCAGTTGGAATTCTCCAAAGCTGGAAGACATGGGTACTTGCTATAATAAAGCCCCTGTGTGACAGGGAATTCCTTCACAGCTGATAAAGGAATGATTTGCAATACTACCTAGAGCTGCATCAATACTAATTTCAGTGAGTATTCAGCATATTTTATGGAGAAAGCTATGGCTGTTTACTATTCTGCTGATTTAAATGAGCACAGTTATCAAAAGCAGAGGGGAAATTGTTGGAATACACTTGCAGAAGGCAGTTTTGTCCATCCACAGTGCATGGCTTTGGCTGTGTAGGGTCATGGGGTCTCAGACCTGTGTGGAAAACCCCTTGGAGACACTGACTGAAGCACTGCAGCTCTGCTGGGTCCAGCCAAAGGATTGTGTCACCCCATGTCTCACCTCCAGCTGGAGCAGTCAACACACACCTGCACAGAAAGCTCTCCCCAATGTTCTTCCAGCCATCAGCCTCTCTGGCTCCAGGGACTCCTTGAGCTGCTTAGAATCATAGAATTTAAGGGTTGGAATGGACCTTACAGATCATCTCGTCCCTGGGTAGGGACACCTCCAACTAGATCAGGTTGCTCAAGGCTCATCCAGCCTGGCCTTGAACATCTCCAGGGTTGGGGCAGCCACAGCCTCCCTGGGCAACCTGTGCCAGTGTCTCACCCACCTATGTGTGGTTTCTGTGTATTTATTAACCATCAGATGGTCTGAGTGCCATGAGCTCATCTCTGCTTCCCTGCATGAGCCTTTTAGCACCCATAACATCCTCTGGCAGTACATTTCATCTGCATTCCCTAAGGTGGAGAGAGTATGTTTGGAAATAGAGTTCTCCTGTTAGTAAGCAAAGCTTTTTGGAAGAATTAGTATGTTTTGAGCTGAGATTTTCTGTCATGGCTGATGCTGGGAGACAAAGAGGAAAAAGGAGCTGAGCAGCACATGTATTACCCTGGATCTCCTGGGTATAGTTTTGATGCTTGTGGTACTACTCTGGCACAATTTTCAGTCTTGTTTCTGCTCCTCAGAACAAATGATTAAGAAACAATTTCCCAATCCCTTCAGTTAACACCTCTCCATCCCCAAAAAGGAATACATTCCATGCAGTACAGTGTGTGATACTTGAATAATGTATAAATCAAGTTGGACAGAAGCTGCCTGTCAGTTTTATTAACTTTGACCTTTTCTCCCATTATAAAGATGGTTTGGTAAATATTTAATGGCCCTGATAGATTTTGACAGTTGGATCTGTATTCCTAGGAGCAAAGGTAGATTATGAAGAAATGCTTATAATTAATAAAAATAGCTTAATCACTTGGAGTCAAACTTCAAGGACAGAATTGTTTTTTAGAATATTTAGTCCCTTTTGGGGTTTTTGGGTGGTTTTTTTTTTAATGCCTGACCAATAAATGCCAGACTAGCTGGGAGGTTATGAAAGGTCGTTAAAAGGTTGCCTTAAAAATCTCTCTCTGATTAGCACTGGTGATTAGCTCCATCTTAGAGCAAGTGTCCAAATGATATTTGCTTGAAATACCTGTCAGGTAACATCAGGGGATGTTGTCACCAGCACAGAATGACTGAGGGAAGGCTGCTTGGAGCAGGAGGTAAGAAGAAGAGGGAAAAGCGTGTTCCTGGAGTCTGAGGGATCTTCTGCCAGCACTGTCTTTTCCTTTAATTCCCTGTGTGTTCCACTCTCTGCAAATTCAGGTAGTGAAGATTGAAAACTAAGCCCCTGACACTGAAGCATCACCTCTCAAACATGGACCCTCTGTCACTCTCATTGATTTTTCTCGTTTCAGATAACTGTCAGAAAAGACCAAATTTGAGCAAAATGCATTGGCTGGGGCAGTACAATCCCCCCTCTTCCCTGGGGGAGTGTGGTTCTCTTCCCATTAGGAACGCAATGTGTCTTCCTGTTGTGCCATGGCTGAGATCACATGGCAAAGCAGCCAAGTCAATCAGGAGCCTGTTAGAAATCCGTATGGCCGTGCTGAGCACTGACATTTGTGTCAGATTGGCTCACGGGATCACTCCCCTCATTTTCACAGCCATTCTCAAGTAGATCACTTCCAAGCCTTGTTCCCTCCTTTTCAGTCATTCCCTGCAGAACAACTTGGCTTAGGACCACGTTATTTTCTGAACATTTCTAAGTCATAGTTTCCTAACTATAACCCTTTTTTTCAGGTGTAGACCATGGGGTTAGAGGTGTTAACGTGTGAAACATTTCACCTTCCTCAGGAGTTTCCTAACTATAACCCTTTTTTTCATGTGTAGACCATGGGGTTAGAGGTGTTAGCGTGTGAAACATTTCACCTTCCGCAGAACAAATCCTTAGACAATTTGATGAACACATAGATTCAGGTACTGGAATGTTGAAGACAATTGCATTTGTCTGACACTGAATTTTCCTCCCCATTTCTACTTAAAAAATGGGGAGCTAAGCATGTAATTGAAAGTGTTTCAAGGGGAACTTGGAACCTGTTGCACTTGGAGCTGCTTTCAGGACAGACACAGGCCTGTAGCTGTGAGAGTGCACACAAAATCTTGCAGATTCATGGTGTGTCCTTCATAAATTTGTCTGTTATTGGCAAGGAAAGTAAAAGTTTAGAGGAGAAAGCTACTGAATGTGAATCTTTTTGCAGTGCTAGCAGGTATTTTAAAGGCAAGAGTTTACAGTGGTAGAAACTTCTTTGTGGCAGTGTTTTGTGGTTTTATGTTCAAGAAGAAAAGAGGAGTGTTGTTTCTAAAAGCTGGTTTGTGTAGTGAAGGGGTTGCATCTGTCTTCCTCTTATCTGCTTCCTGAAAGTAAGGATGCTTAGTCCCTAGGGAGGAGAAACAGCCTAAACATTTAAAAGCAAGCCCAAGTTGCAGGAGAGTTAGACTTGAGAGGAAGTCTTTGATTCATCCTCTTACTTGCCCTAATGCATAACTTCCTCCCAATACCTATTTCACAGCAAACCTTTCCTATGTGATTTTGTTCCTATCATCCTCCATCCAAGCAGTGGATCTGAAATACCATACACTGACTTACTGACTGGCTGTAATTTGAATCAGGTGGTGCAGGTAGTAGAGGTCTGACACAGATAGAGTACTGCAGTGGTGTGTATTTTAATATATCTGTGTTTTTTCTCACCCAGCTGCAGTACCATGCCGGGCTGGCATCTGGCCTGTTGAATCAGCAGTCCCTGAAACGTTCGGCCAACCAGATGGGAGTATCTGCAAAGCGCAGACCGAAAGCTCAGCCAACAACTCTTGTCTTACCTCCTCAGTAAGTAATGGAACATTTGGAAGAATTTCCATGCTGGGGGGACAGTTTATTTCTTTTGAACTTTTCGTTGGGTTTTGGGTTTCTTTCAGTCATCAGTGGGAAAGGGGAGATTTGGATGAGATGTTAGGAGAAATGCTTTCCCTGTTAGGATTTTTAGGCACTGGAATGGATTGCCCAGGGAGGTGGTGGAGTCACCATCCCTGGAGGTGTTAAAGAGTCATCTGGATCTGGCATGGAGTGATCTGTTTTAGGAGTTACAGCAGTGACAGGTTAATGGTTGGACTTGATCTTAGAGGTCTCCTCCATCCACGATGAGTCTATGATCATAATAGCAGCTTTGTGCTTGCATTTTTGTTTCATACATTATGAATTATTCTTGCTGAATAGTTGGGTTCCCTATGGAACCAATATGTTGTTTCTTCTGTTCCTGGAGGTACTGGCACAACAGAGAAGTTGCAAAGATTCTACCTTGTAGCAGCTCTTAAAAGTTTTTGCAGCATGAGGTTGTCATTGAGGAATGATGTTCCCCTGATTAGTATGACTTGAAGCTTCAAGCAGGACTTTTCTGAAGGTCCTAAAAGTCTGAAGCCAAAAAGTCTTTGGTGTGAGTACTTTCTCGGCAAACGTCTGTTCTGAGTCCATCTGTTCACCATATGTTAATTTTGCGTTGGATCTAAACCTCTTTTACAGGTGACAAGCAATTATGAGGACACTTAGAAACTGTTTGAGGACAGAGAGTATCATCACTTTAGGCAGCCTGTGTACTGATGCCAAAAACACAGAGATGTCCACAGCTAAGCTTATAAATTAATAAGCTGCCTAAAATATTTAGTTACATGTAAGAAAATGATTATTATGTAGAAAATGAAGTGCTAAGCAATTGTTCATTGTACTGAGCATCCTTGGAGCTTGTGGAAGCTGCCTGATTGTTTCACAAAACAAGAGTCCCTAATGTCAAAACACTGTGCTACCCAAAACTTCATAGTTGCAGTAATAAAAGTCCCTGTTGTCATCAGAGTCCACAGGCACAAGTTTAGAGGTTTTTTTCACAAAGGAAATGAGAAAAAAATCACAGTCAATAGAGCTTCCCCTTGTACATTAACTTTAAAGGGTTGGTAATTCAAGAATCTATAAAATGTTTTATTATTTTACCAATATCATAGAATCATAGAATTTAAGGGTTGGAATGGACCTTACAGATCATCTAGTTCTAACCCCTTGCCATGGGCAGGGACACCTCCTCACTAGATCAGGTTGCTCAAGGCTCATCCAGCTGGCCTTGAACACTGCCAGGACCAGGGCAGCCACAGCCTCCTTGGGCAACCTGTGCCAGTGTCTCACCACCCTTACAGTAAAAAACTTTTTTCTCACATCCAACCAAGCCAATTCCATTGGGAGAAATCGTAATTTTGACCTGAGTAAGTATTGGTTTTCCTCATATCTTTTCATTATGTTAGTTTTATTCACCTTCCACTGTGGCATAAGTCACTGAGGTTAACACCTTTCTTGTATATTACAGCAATACAAAATTAATTTGGAAGATGATTCTAAACAAATACCAATAAACTAACTAGTGGTTGTAAAAATGTCCTTTACCCCAAGAAAAATTGCTCCACTTTCCACAGTTTGCCACCGGTCTTAAAATATTTTTGTGTTTTGCTTGGTTAATCATGGCTTCTCTAGTTACTAGAAGTATGTATATATAAAGAGCTAGTTTCTATTTTTGCACTGAAAAATCCATGCTTCCATAGTTGCAGCTGTATAAATCTCAATGTGAGATACATAACATTTAAAAGTATTATATGTCTTGTTATCTGCAGATGATTTTCCTTCAGTGGTGCATTTACCTAGGATTTGCAGATAGTCTGAAATTTTAGTGTGGTAGCTAAACTTTAGCCAGGAGTTGAATTATGTTTCAGTATCTTATTACCACTTCCAGCATTATTCACAGGCAAAATGTGTTTCTGCTGATCTTGGCCCTTTATCTGTCACTGGTTTCCTCCTCTCTGGCTTTTCTTTGACCTTTCCATATTTGTTCTTACTTGCTATCTCAGGGTGTCTTAAGAGAATAGTAGTTATATTAAGTCAAATCAAATACCTGTTGAGTTCAATCTCTTGTCTCCAGCACAGAGCAGAAGCAGATTATGAAAAGACTTATGAAAATAGGCTTATGAAAAGTATTTTTTTAAAAAAAAAGCGTGACAAATGGATTTTAATATCTTGATTTTGCTGTAGTTTCATGCAAATAATGATGAATCATGCCCTGATTTTTTTTTCCCTTTCATTCTTTATAAAATGCAAAAGAAGAAAACATCCAGGTGCAAAACTACAGCTCTCCTTGAAAGGGCACACTGCATACTAATTTTCCCATGGCAATACAAGGATTATTTTTTTTTAGCTTTATTAATTCATCAAGCAAGGGGTAACTATTTCTTTGTCTGTTTCTACTTTGATGTATGATATTAAAATTAAGTTCAGTGACAAGTCTTTAGGCTGAGTAACAAGGAGTTAAGTACAGGAACAGTGTGGTCAGCAGGACCAGGGAGGTGATTCTGCCCCTGGACTCTGCAGTGGTGAGGCCACACCTTGAATCCTGTGCTCAGCTCTGGGCCCCTCAGGTCAGGAGGGACATTGAGGTGCTGGAGCAGGTCCAGAGAAGAGCAACGAGGCTGGTGAAGGGACTGGAGCACAAGTGCCATGAGGAGAGGCTGAGGGAGCTGGGGGTGTTCAGCCTGGAGAAGAGGAGGCTCAGGGGAGACCTTAGCACCCTCTGCAACTCCCTGACAGGAGGTTGGAGTCAGGTGGGGGTTGGTCTCTTCTCCCAGGCAACCAGCAGCAGGACAAGAGGGCACAGACTCAAGCTCTGCCAGGGGAGGGTTAGGTTGGATATTGGGAAGAGATTTTTTACAGAGAGAGTGCTCAGGCATTGGAATGTGCTGCCCAGGGAGGTGGTGGATTCCCCATCCCTGGAGGTTTTCAAGCTGAGACTGGATGTGGCACTTAGTGCCATGGTCTAGTAACCACGATAGGGTTGGACTTGATGATCTCTGAGGTCTTTTCCAACTTGGCTGATTCTATGATTCTGTGATTCTAAGTATATACTAAATGTTGTCCAGAGCAACTGTATTATCTAGAGCTTTTCTTAAACATAAGCAGTTAAAACCAGCTCTGTGCCAAAATGTCATCTTAGGAGAGCAGGTTGGAGAGAAAAGCAGCCCTGCAGGAATTCTTTTGTGCCAGCGAAGGAATGCAGGAAACACTTGCTCAGGAGGTGTCATAGGTGATGGTTTGGGCAAAGAAGCTTCTAAAACCTGTCTGTTATTCTGCAGATTTTGCACATGGGTAGTTTGATAGTAAACATGTCTTCATTTGAGTTAAAGGTAGCATTAGAGAGCATGTTCTAATCTACTTATTTATTTATGTTCCTGTTCCTTGAAGAAACTGCTTGGGTAACTTTTGCTATTGCACATTACATTCTTAATGGCAATGATGTAAGCTGAGCACTTGTCTTGCTGATCCATGTCTTTGGTCTTTACTGCTGTGGTGAGGCTTGAGTTGTGTTCGACAAACTAAACATACCCAAATGGTGTTTCTTCCCATTTAGGGTGGTGATACAGCATAAAAATCATGTTTTGTGTCAACTCATTGTTCACTTGAGGTCTCAGTCTTTCTCCCTGCTTTGCTTTTCTTCTTCTTTCCTCTCTAAAATGCCTTTATTAAAAAAATAGAAATGAACCAACCCCAAAACCTTCTCAGCCTGTCTTAGGAACTGAACCATGTCTTCCTGCATTTGTACTTACAGAAGGAGCTGGGGAAAGGGTTTTACCAATGGCAAAGCTAATTCTAGATGTGCCCCCACCCCTTTGTCCCTCACCAGCCTCAGGTTTTCGTTTGATGCGCTGTGGTTTGGAGGTGAGAAGCTCTGGTTTCTCACTACTCCATATCTGGAGCAGCAGCAGTGATTTTGAATCCAGGAGGTGGTTTGGAAACTGGAAGGTCTCAGTCCTATGCAACCACTACAGGGAAGATTTACATTTTCTCACTGTTTGCATTATCTGAGGCCTTTTGAGGGTGCTGAGCAGTTTTGAAGAGAGGCCTTTTGGTGTTGGGTTTGCTTTTCAGTAGTGGTTTGCATTGGCTCAGAAGGTACAGAAAGGCGGAGTGGATTGATACGTGTCTCATTTCTAGCCAAGTGATCTGTGTGAGAAAATGACTAACTGCTGGCTGCTTTCTCTGCCTGCTTTGTCCCTCCTTCTGTCTTCTATTAACAAGACATCTCCCTGTACTTGCTAATAGATGCGTTCCCTCACATGCTTCTCATCTGGCTGCTGATTCCTTCCTTCTGTTAAGGAATCTCAAGGCAGTGTTTGCTGAAGTGCTGAAAGCTGTCAGCTCCTTCCGAGTGCCTAGGGAAGCGTATGTGTGCAGCCCTTGTGAAAACTGGGATGGCTCCTTCTGGTTTGAAATCAATAAATAAAGACAATAAGAAATGACAGCTTAGTTTCTTCTTTCCTCTTGAAATGCAGTGATTGAAGTAGTTAATTAATCTTGTATCGTTTTGCTTGGCACCACTTCTCAAAAGCAAATTCACAGTTATCAAGTTGTCTCCACGGCCCTGAAGGAGCAACAACCCCCAGAGTTTGGGGTTGTTGAGAGCAGTGAGCACACAGAGGTGGTCCCTGCTGAGAGCCCAAAGCTCTGCTATGTCACTCCAGCTGGAAAATGACAGCAGTGAGTCATTGTGAGATGAGGAAGAGAGAAAAGAGGAAGCACAGGATGTTGACTATATTCTTGCAATGGAGTTCATTGGCACACACAAGAGGGTCAGTTAGTGTTAATGGGAATTTTTAGGGGTCTCAGTTGTAAACCCTATGACTTTGATAGCTCTGTTGTGTGGGGCTTTCTTAGTGCTCCCAGATTAATGATCTGCCTTCTCTGTTTGGAAGAAAATTGCCAGAACAAGAACTTGATCACCACAGAAGGTTTTGAGACTCTTGCCC